AAGGTAGATGAAGCAAGCTAAGCTCGAGCTCGAGCTAAATCACTCGTCTCTTCTCACTCATCGGGATAGTGAAATCCCTGAAACATACTGTCCTGAGATCCCAACACGTACGAATCAACACCATAAGTCGTAAATACATTTCTTCCCGTCTCGTTGCTCGTCTGAAATCCGGCAGAAGTCATCATCATCAACTGCTTCTTCTCATCGCTGCTCGTCTGATGATTCTCGTTGAGGCTGACAGTGGTAATATCGTGAATACTCGCTCGTCTCTTGTCCTTACCACCCGAGAGCTGGCGGATGAAGTACTTCTGCGCGTGGCTCGCCACCTGTGTCGGTGTCCTCGTCATCACGAAATTTCGCGATATGTTCCTCCAATCCCCTTTCCCATACTTCTTCAGCCCCATCAAAAACAGCCTAATCAAGATCGCACATGTCAAAATTCCCACTTTCAAAAATAAATAAATAAATAAATAAAAATTACTTGTGCTCCTCCTCGGTCCACGGGATGCCTTTTTTCCGTTCGTGTTCGGCTGTGGGCAGGCGAACGGCGGGAGATTTCCTCGAAGATTGATTGAAGGGGAAGGGGTAGGGGGGGTGGTGGTGGTGGGGCCCACCCAAGTACTCGAGCGTGAAGTACTGAGGGGATGACACGTGGCAGGAGTATCCGGGGACAGGGACGAGGCCGGCCTCGATGCTGGTGACGTCATCCTCGAGCTCCTTGTAGTGGCGGATGACGTCGAGCACGGTTTTTGTGGGGACCATGGCAGCCACCTTGTGCCACCTGTCGGGAGTGTTGTCGTCGAAGAGGGCGAGGGCGTTCTCGAAGGCTTTGTTCTCCGCCGGAGTCCACCGGACTTCATCCGCTCCGGCCGGCGGCCAGCCGGTGGTGTTGGTGAGGTAGTTTGTAGGGGATAGAATCTCCATCTCCCCCCACCTCATCAAATACTCCAAACCTATATAACCTATATATGTGTGTCCTTTTTTTTCCTTTTGTACCCTCTTTCTTTCTGTTTATTTACATCTACAACATCCCTGCTCTTCTAAACTTGATAGAACAGGAGAAAATAGAAAACAGAGAGAGAGAGGGAGAGAGAGAGAGAGAGAGTTTGGGGAGGGTGAGAATGGGAAAAAACAGAGTTAAATCAGAGGAGCAATTGGGAAGGGAATCAGAATACCCTCTTTTACCTCCACAGCAACCTCTCACTTTGAGGAATCTGGAAAAAAGAAACCCACTTTGCCAAAATCGATGAATATCAGTCAACTTGGGGTTTAGCTTACACACGTAATCAAAAGTATTAAGGCCAAAAAACCCAAATATCTAGAATTCAGTATGAAATCTAGCTCAAGGATAAACCAGATTTTGGGTTTGGAACCGAACCCACAAAATAACTTCGACCCGGAAAGAGGAAGGGAAAGAAACAGTTTTTTACCAATTCAAGAAAATGAACCCCGTGAAAATGGCACAGTTGTTCATTTACTTGAAGAAATATGAAGTTGGTTCAGCTGGGTTTTCTTGATATCTTAAAAATTGGGCAACAGGGGAAAAAAAAAAACAGGAAAATGTCCAAAAAAGGAGCTGGAGAGAACAGAAAGCGAGGAGAAAACAGTGAGAAATTCTGAATTTGAGGGAGGGGAAAAGGAGAGGAAAAGAGATGGGATTTTTATTTCTTTCCACCTTTTTCACTCCTTGAGTTTAGAGCAGCCAAGAGAACAAGGAAAAAATTAAAACTTTAAGAAAAACAAAAAAGAAAGCAAGAAAAAGATGATACAGAAAAATGGAAAAATGAATTCCAATTTTATTGAGATGGAGAGAGATCTGCAGCAACAGAAATATTGGGAGTGGGTTTTTGATGAATTGCTGGAGGTGGTGAAATGTGATTGGGTGTGATGGGGTTTGTGGATACTGCAAATTTATGCAAAAGTTTTTGTCATTGAAAAAAATGCACTCTTGTTGTCTGTTATTTTAATGGAAAAGAATGAGCAAAAAGGGCAAACATTTATTTGTGTGTGTGTGTGTGCGTGTTTTTTCTTTTTTC